AGCAGCTTTCATACGATATATCTCATGGCACTCCACAATAAGAATTTACAGTAAAATAACTAATATAATTAAAATAGTACAAATTCTCCTACAACCTGCAATTTTTAAAAATAGAACTACTTTACAAAAAATAAATTCATAATGAAAGGAAAACTGTTCTGCAGGTTCCTGTCTCTATCGTGGTCTAATTAAGAGGCAATTCAGTAAAGTCATGTTCTTGCTGAACAAAGGCAGAAGCTGCAAGCTTCTACATAAAGTTACAGTAGCCCTGAAAAGACCAAAAAGTATTTTCACTGAGCGGACAGGCACTGCAGGTGCACTTTAAATCCTAAAAATCATCAGTAAAAGGGAGGGAGAATAAATCAGTGAGATGTGTCTGTATGGCAACAGCATTGTTCTGAATTCCTATCTAGATACCTGATGTGAACGAAGTATTTGATCACAGTCAAACTTCCACTCAGTTATCGAGGATTCCTCCCTATCTCGTCTCACATTGCTCAGGGGTGCTGCCCTCCATGTATAAGGGAGGGCAGCCTTAAACTGAATCAGACCACTGTCCATTAAGCTCTGTATTGCCTACTGTTAATGATAGCAACTATCCAGGGATTCCGACAGGGGACATTCCCAGCCTTGACTGACTGATGCCAAAGATTGAATCAAGGACCTTCTGCAAGCAAAGCAGATCCTCTATCTCTAAACTACAGTTCTTCCCCTTTACATTGCTGCTGCTGCTATTACAATTACTATTATTTACTGCTTAATGGCAAAATAGGTTTCCAAGTGGTTTACGAAGTCTAAAAGCAATTTATGCACACATTAAAATATGATCAAAATACACGAGTAAAGCAATACAACAATTTTTAAAAGGGCCTCTTGTATATTATCAGCTTGGAGGGGGAAGCTTATGGAGCTTCATGAGGCAGGAGGGAAGAGGACACTTTTCCCAACTTCCATGAACATTCATAAGTTATTTTAGGATCAAAACCTCATGCGTTGTCTACATATAAATGTGCAGCACCTTTTTTAATTTTTTTGCAAAATGCTCAAGGAGTTTTGTACACACAAAAATCCTTCTGGCATCCCTGCAAAGTTTCAGTTGCCAGGTAAAAATTGTCTTATGAGAAAACCAGATTAATTATTCAAAATATTTTGGGGTCCATTCTGTGTCCAAAGTCATCAGAGGTGGCATGTAACACTTTTTTTTTTTTTAACAAAAGTTTTAATTGCTAATATATTCCTCACCCAATCAAGGTCAAATTGATTTTTTTTATTGATTACTGATCTACGTGTCAATGAGTCATAGATCTCATACCACAGATAGAACTTCTGTAGCAGGAACATTAATATATTTATATATATATATAGAGAGAGAGAGAGAGAGAGAGAGAGAGTTCTTCTCATACACCACAAATGCTCCTCTAATGTTGTTATTATCTGATATTTTGATCTTAATTTTGAAATTTGGGATGTTGTGTGATTTGTTTGTTTGTTTGTTTGTTTAGTGATCCGCTTTGAGACACATGTGGAAAGTAGGGTATAAATTATGTAAGTGAATAAAATAAATAAATAAAGGAAAACAAAACAACAATTTAAAACTCTTCTCTCTCCCCCCCTCCTTCCTTCCTCCATCACCCCTTACCTCTTTTGTTGACAGGAATCCATGGCTTGAGCTGCAGGAAAAACCCTTTGATTATCCCTGTCATTCATGACCTTAGCCAACATTTCTACCATACCCAGGCCATCCTGATCACCTTCAGCTCTCCGTTCGTGGCCATCTCTGGGGTGGCCTTGCGCTCCTTCCAAAACTTTGACCCCATCACCGTCAGCAGTTGCCAAAGCGGACAGACCTATAGCCCGGCTGAGCAGAGGTGAGTCCTTTCTTCTCTCCCCACCCCGCCTCTCTCACCCTCCCGTGTCTTTACCACCCATAGACTTCCAGCCTCTGTAGGCCTGATCAAGGGGATAATAAGAAGCAGGAGTAGAAAAGCTGTGCCTGACCTTTGGCATTGCCAGCAGAATCCATGGAGTTTCCCAGTGAATGGGAGCAGACGGGGCATTTAACCCACATGGGAAAATGTCAGTAGATTATTTCCACCTCCTTTGTCTCTCCTCGGCTTTCATGGTCCAGCTTCAATCTATGCTAGGAAAATCCTGGAATAGAAGTCGCAACTCAAAGAGGGCAGGCTCTCTCTGCATGAAAGAAAGAAAGAAAGAAAGAAAGAAAGAAAGAAAGAAAGAAAGAAAGAAAGACCTTGATCCATTCTAACACAATCTTGCACCCCACTTCCAGTAGCTGTACATAATTCTTTTCACTTCCAATTTATTTTCACAGCAGTGTGTGTGTGTTTGTGTGTGTGTGTAGGATCAGTGGAGACCTGATTTTGAAATCTACATTTATCTATAAAGCTCACTGGGTGGGCTTGGGCATAACAGACCCTCCAAGCATTCCTATTTTCCAGGGACAGTCCTGAATTCACAGAAGCTGTCCTGGTTTTTTATTTGATCTCGGAATATCCCGCTTTTCCTTATGATGTCCCTGTTCTCATCAGAGGAATGTTGGAGGGTATGGAGCTATGCGACCCCTGAACCAAGGAGATAAGTAACTAACTATAAACCTTTGGAAGACATCTGAAGGCAGCCCCGTATGGGGAGGTGTTTGCTGGGGCAACCCAGTCAGATGGGTGGTTGTTGTTGTTGTTGTTGTTGTTGACACCCCCATTTTAATTGGAAAAATGTTGTAGGGTATGGTATAAACACAGTATGGTCTTGCACAGCACCTGATCTGACATTTAAAGCTCTTTGTGGCTTGGAATCAGCGAGTAAGTGAAGGGCCTCTCTTCTCCCCAACGTTCTTCCCATATACCATAGGTGTTGGAACCTCTGGGGCCCTCTGGGTGTTGCTGTGCCACACCTTCCATCAGTCTCACTCAGCAAGGCCATGAGAGTTGTAGGGCAGCAACATCCTGAGCAGAGACAGGGAGCCTCCAGCCCAAATGCAACTCTTCTGGCCTCTCTCTGTCTGGCCCTTGGGACCTTCTCCAGGCCACTCCTCCCTCTCTGCAGACCACATGCCTCACACCCAGGGTTTACTTTCCTTTTTTCTTTTGGCCTGGATGGCCACTATTTTAATGCCTATTGGTTGCATAGATGGAGGATGGGGGGGAAGGGTGCTAAGAAACTGCTCTACTGTAAAAATATAAAATTAATTGTTGCACTCATTTTTGACTTTGGACTAGGGGTGGGTGATCTGTTTGATTCAGTTTCAGTTAAAGTGAATCTGCTAAACACATGCTTTTTGAAACACAATGGAAACTAAAACAGGGCTATCCTTCGAAATTCACACTTCTCTGAATTTTGCAATGTATCTTTCAGCCAAGTGAAGTGTGCAAATGTACACATACTAAGACAGTGTTCCTGAAAATGCACATGTTAGTGAGAATAATATACAAAAATTGTGTTATATTAAGGGAAATCATTTTGCAGCAATGTGCATATTGAGGAAAATTTATACAAAAAAAGTGTATATTATGAGAAAATTGCACTATTATGCTGATGGATTTTTCACAATGAATTATTGTTTTAAAAATATAAATAAATTGCAAACTGGTGGGAAAATGTGGAGAAGTCAATTTAATTTAATGAGATCTTTGTTGATATTTCCACAGCAGTTTGCCGTTTTCTTTTCTTTTATATTTTAAAAAGTCCAGTGGAAATTCGCCAGTATTTTAGTGCAAATTTATCTAAATATGCAGATTTTTGTATGGAAGTTTGCCTAATGTATACATTTTTGCACAGCAATTTCCTTCAATATAATGCATCTTTCTATCCCATTTTCATTGATATGTACATTTATTCGTACTTTAACTTTGTAGAGGCTTTACTGTACTTTGCTGTTACTTACTGTGACAACTTCATGGTGAGTACTGGCACCTATTTTTCTAGGAAAAAAGCACTGACCAAAGGTACCTATCATAACAGCCTTAAAAATTAAAATACCCTCTTTCATGCTTTTGCCAAAGGCAATTTTGTGTATATTTTGTACAGTGTTTATTGACGTATATAGGTGATGTTCAAAAGCATAAAAAACAATAAAATCCTATTTTTTTAGTTTTCAGATGTGGATTGGAATTATTATTTTTAAGTCAGTTATCATCTCCTATTTAATCCTTTTTCTCGAGCAATTGCATCGATTTGCCAAACCGTAAGAAAGGTGTCCTCTTGCAGAGATTCAGAGATAGTTCCATCAAAGCACTGGTTGTTACAAGAATATGGTATCATCATTATTATTTAAAGAAGAATTCTGTACCCTTTTGAAAAACACACACACACCTTCTGCAAAAAAATGGCTTCAGAATTTTGTAGAAGTGTGGCCTTGATTTTTTGCCCTACGAATTAAAACCCTTCAGTTGCCTCCCACCTTTTACCGCATTGGCACTGATTCATCACAAAGTGTATGCTTGAATGCCGTGATAAGAATTTCCGCTCCAACATTTTAAGCTCATAAGAGCTTAAAGGGAAGGCGGAGAAGCAAACTGAACATGTGATTCTGCCACTACCACCCACCATCCCTTCGCCAGTGCTTTCAGACATTGCTCTGCAGCAATGGGTCTTTCTCTGTCTCTGTCTCCTCCTGCCTTGGGACTTGGCCAGACGTCCATAAACTGGACCTCTCATTTGAAACTTGATCCGGCTGTTCACTGGGCTTCTGAGCTTACTCATCTCATTTCAACACAGTGATCAGAAGCCTTGTATCTAGGTCAGAGCATGTTGTCTGCATTGATTTTTATTTTATTTTATTATTTTATTTTATTTTATTGATATGGGTGCAACTATCTTGGTCTTCTTGATCTAATAAAAGGAGTAAATAGGTCTACCCCAAGTAGACCTATTGAAATAGGTGGTTAAAACTAGAGGAAGAAGAACCTGCTAGATCAAACCAAAGGCTTGTCTTGCCCCACATTTTGTCCCCTCCATAGCCACCCAAATTCCTAAGGGAAAGTGTCATGGCTCAGTGGGACAGCATCTGCCTTGCAAGTGGAATGTCCCAGGTTCAAACCCCTGCCGGAACTCACCATGAATGCCTCGCTTGTTCTCTTATAATGGCAATGGTACCCACCTTAGAGGTGCTGGAACTGAGTTCTGGTGAGTTTCCGCTGAAAAAAAGCTCTGAACAGAGGAAATGCATAGCTATCATAACTAGTACACTTTATCATCTGTATAATTGTTCACTTCCTTGTTAAATCCATCCAAGTTGGTGGATATCATCACACCTTACATTAGCAAAATCCCATGTGGAGACACTTTTGAAATTTGCCAATGCCACTCTGGGCTCCTAAAGATGTGCGTGCTGAAAGCTCAGTCAACATTCTAGGTGAAGGGTCCAAGAGTCCCACTTCTCCCCAAAGCAATGACACTTACAATTTATTTATTTTTTTAAGGTAAAGGTTGACTTGCTTTCTATTCTCATTCTTCCCCGTCCTCCCCCTTCCCCACTTACTTTTGCTTTTCTTTTGCTCTGAGTTTTCTACTGTATCCCCACAGACAGATAGCCTGTGTTTTCCTTGCTGTGTAATTATGTCACTGCTCTGCATACTTTGCAGTTGGAAGAAAGTACACTTGCTTTTCTTGGTTCCACTAAACCTTGTTTTATTGCCATCCACCTTGCCAGGCCAGCCAAGAGCTGGCTTCTGCCAGGTGGACTGTGTTATCACCCTCTTCAAGTTACATCTGTGCAGGTGTTGGTGGGAGGGCCTGCGCATGGATGTAAAGCACTCCCTGTAAGAGTAGATTTGGTTCCTGTGTTTGATTTTGTGCCACATATGAAGGGGATACCTGTCACCTCAAAAGAGCCTCTCAGCTTCTCGAATTCAATCACTAGCTGCAAAACAGCAGCCTCTTAGTGTTTATCAATACACTTCCAAAATCTTGTGCCTTTTGCGCATCCTGTGACCCAACCCGTCTTATCAATTTTTGTTCTTTTCATTTTCTCATTTTTCCAATTATAAATTCAGTGCAGCCCATTTACACATCATCTTGCAAATTCTTCTTCTTCTTAACAAAATGCATCAAAGTGTGTATACATGTTTTATGTTTTACACAAAATGCACCAAAAAACCCATGTGTTTCTCTTACTATGCATAGTTCTGCCCATTTTTGCAAGAAATTTCTGTATGTTAATATAGAGCATTTCTGCACATCATTTTCACTTAATTTGTGTGTGCTGTCCCCCCCCCCCAAAAAAATACGGGTTTTTGTACACATTTTGTTTCTCTTGGGGTTGAGGTGATAGTGAAATGCATGACAGAAGTTTGAACCCATGCTGATTTCACAGCATTTCCCAAACTTCTGAGTTCATCCCTTGATCTCTTGATGAGCTTATAATGTTGTCAGTGACCCCAACCCAAATTCTTATGACTATAAATAAAATACAGTTGAGATATATTGATATATAGTCAACATTTATTAATGACCAATCTCCATGACTAGGAATCAAACAATGTTAGGGGAAATAAAAGGTAAAGGTAAAGGTACCCCTGCCCGTACGGGCCAGTCGTGTCCGACTCTAGGGTTGTGCGCCCATCTCACTTAAGAGGCCGGGGGCCAGCGCTGTCTGGAGACACTTCCGGGTCACATGGCCAGTGTGACAAAGCTGCCCTGGCGAGCCAGTACCAGCGCAGCACACGGAAACGCCGTTTACCTTCCCGCTAGAAAGCGGTACCTATTTATCTACTTGCACTTAAGGGTGCTTTTGAACTGCTAGGTGGGCAGGAGCTGGGACAGAAAGACGGGAGCTCACCCCGCCGCGGGGATTCGAACCGCCGACCATATGATCGGCAAGTCCTAGGCACTGAGGTTTTACCCACAGCGCCACCCTGTTAAATACCGAGTAGCATCATTGGAAAGGGAGTTGAACTCTGCACATGCCCATTGGCATTTCTGAGGCACCTAGTTCCTAATTAAATTATTCACAGTATGCCTTGCACACTTCTTTTCCACCCCTAGCCACTTTTTTATCTGGGGGAGGGCCAGTACTGACCACTCTGGGAAGCCCAGCTTTATCAGATACACTGTGACATTGTCACAATTGTGCCATGAATCATGGCAAAAATCAGCTTAAAGCGCTGTGCTGCAAGTGGTCAGTGGAGGCTGGTCCATGGGACAAATGGGGCATTGCCCCACCAACTCCAGTATGCCTCCTGCCAGCCCCCTGTGGCTCTGCCTGTCATTGGTTCTGCCTCCACCTATTATTGGTCTACCTGCCTTCCACCATGCCTCTCCCAATGGGCCCCCACTGCAACTAGCTCATAAAGGTAAAAAGGCAACTAGGCAGGCCTTGGGCAAAGTGCTCCCTTTCAATCCAAGGGCTTGCTGTGAAGGTAAATGAGAGCAGGATGGTTGATCCTTCCGCAGGCTGTTGGATGCTATAGAATACCAATGCAGTGTCTTCCATGCTAAAGTCAGCAATCATTAGCACTCCTTCCGTAATGCTTCCCTCCCCAGTTTCATCTCATGGTATTGATCTCCTTGCGTTCCTCTCTCGCCTTTTCAATCTTCCAAATGGAATAATGGGGGTGGGGTTTTTTGGCAATTAGGAGCTTAGGTATAATTCAGCCGAGTCCTGCTGAATCTTGCTGAAACATAGTCCTTGAAAGGTTTGGCGAGGGAAGAATTTTGCATGTTGTAAGGATAATTTAGGGGTGGGGTGGGGGGAAGCAATTGCATGGGACTCTGTGGCTAAAATGATGGGCTTGGACATTGCAGGGGCACTGAAACCGCTGAGCGGTTTTAAAGGATAAGCTACAACCTCCTGTTTTAATTACTATTTTCACTGTTTTGAATTTAGCACTGTTTTGGGATGCAGTTAGATGCGGGGAGTGTTGTGTTAGTTTTCCTAGTGCTTATGTTCTGTTTTCTAATGTTCCTTTCACGCTGTAGTACCTGTTGTGTTAAGCAACTGTGGCTTTTTGACCCATATGCTGGTGTGTCATGATAAATTTAATTCCCACCAGTGGGAATGTCATTGGACAGGCTCCTTGCCCCCCATCCTCCCATTCCGCACATACCTGCTTTGGTTCCTCCATGGTTCCTCCATGAAAACAGCAGGAAGGAGCTGTAAGCTTGCATACTACCTCAAGTTTTGTCACTTTACTCCTGCAATTTTCTGGGTTTATGGGGTTGCAAATGGATTATTTTTGGAACCGATTAACATGGAAACGAGCACAAAACTTCCACTATATTCTGCTCGCTTTCCAGAAATGTCTTTTATGTTGTGTGGAAGCTCAAATATAATGCAGAAATTTACAGCTGGGAAAATGGAATAAAGTGCTGTGTGAATGCAACCTAGACGAACTTGTTTTATTGAGCATTTTGATTACAGGTGTTTTATTGCTTTATTGTGTATTTTAATTGTGCACATTGTTGTTGGTTTTGTTTTTGTAAACCACCAAGAAGCATATATATTCCTATTCTCCCCCAACAGTTGTGTCCACTACTCCTGCAAAGCCACTGATTGCCAAGAACTGGAGATTGAGAATGCTGTGCTGACCTTCTCCAGTGCGGGGCGTTTTAATGGTGCCCAGTGCAATGTCACCTGCAAGACAGGCTACATCCTTCAAATACAGAGAGATGACGACCTTGCAAAGAATCAGGTTTGTTGCTGCAGTTCACAATCTGCCAGGGTGAGCGAATAGCTGTCTGGGTAGGGTGGGTGGGGGGGAATGGTTTCACCATCATTTAAAGAGATACAGGATCTCATAATATAATAGTAGGTAGTGCAATGGGTTATAGCAGGGGCTGGGGACTTCTTTAATCCTGATGGCCACATTCCCTTCTGGGCCATATGCCAGTGGTAGGTGAAGCCAGGTAGGTGAAGTTGGTGGAACAATGAATGTTGTATCTACACACACTCACACCCAACTAAGGTCAGTTGTGTGTCCCGGGCAGCTGTCTACCAGCTCCATCTGGTATGCAGGCTGAGACCCTGCCTGCCTGCAGACTGTCTCGCCAGAGTGGTGCATGTTCTGGTTATCTCTCACTTGGACTACTGCAATGCGCTCTATGTGGGGCTACCTTTGAAGGTGACTCAGAAACTGCAACTAATTCAGAATGTGGCCGCTAGACTGGTGACTGGGAGTGGCCACCAAGACCATATAACACCGGTCCTGAAAGACCTACACTGGCTCCCAGTACATTTCCAAGCACAATTCAAAGTGTCGGTGCTGACCTTTAAAGCCCTAAACGGCCTCGTTCCTGTATACCTGAAGGAGCATCTCCACCCCCATCGTTCAGCCCAGACGCTGAGGTCCAGCTCCGAGGGCCTTCTGGCAGTTCCCTCACTGCAAGAAGTGAGGTTACAGGGAACCAGGCAAAGGGCCTCCTTGGTAGTGGTGCCCTCCCTGTGGAACGCCCTCCCATCAGATGTCAAGGAAATAAACAACTATCTGACTTTTAGAAGACATCTGAAGGCAACTCTGTTTAGGGAAGTTTTTACTGTTTGATGTTTTATTGTGTTTTTAATATTCTGTTGGGAGCTGCCCAGAGTGGCTGGGGAAACCCAACCAGATGGGTGGGGTATAAATAATAAAATTATTATTATTATTATTATTATTATTATTATTATTATTATTATTACAACATTAGGTTAAGGCATGATCACTTTGTTGCATTCTGTTGCCCCTTGTTTTAGTTATATTAATAAGTCTCATGAAATTTTTTTGGACACCTCCCATTTCTCCTTGTGATAGGGATGTATATGGGATCAATGAAATATAGAGTTGGAGTACTTTAGTTAAGTGAAATGTGGTTTCCAGTTGAAAATGTCTGCATTGATTTGTTCTTAATATACCACTCTATGAAGCTGTACTATGTTGCCTCAGTTTGATTGGGGGGGGGGGCTTTCCTTCCCTGCCTCCTCTCCAGACTTCTGTCCTTCAAAGCCCTGTCTTAATGGCACCACTGAAATAGGTACCATTCCTGGTAAATAGGGGTCCTTGTGGGTTGGGTCTGGGAGGTGATACACAGGATGGTTGTCTTAGAGTGCCTGCAGGAATTGAACTGCACAACCGCTAGACC